CCTTTCACGTTGACTTTAACTTGTGAACAGTCTTGATTGTAGATGGAGAAAAAAAATAACCAGCAGTTAATCTGCAGTTTCATTTCTTGTGGCCATCACATTGCTTATGTGCTTTCATATCATCTTGTCAAACTAATACATGAAAAAAATTCCTTTTTCTTTTTTTTCCCCCCCATTTTTAAATGGAGCAGCCCCCAGTGAAGACTCTGCCCTTCCTGCCAAGGCCAACACAATGGGACCTCAGTTCGTGAGTGGAGTAATTGTGAAGATCATTAGCACTGAGCCCCTGCCGGGCAGGAAGCAGATCAAGGTAATGCCTTTGTAACCTCAGGGTAGCTGTTAGCCTTTCCTCTTACAGTGCCCCCCAAGTGCTTGAATATGGAATACCATTTAAACAAGTCTGACTGTTTAGGTTTTTGTTTCCTATTTGTTTGGCCAGAAGCTGTGTACAGATTCTTCTCTAGTACCTGTTAATGGCAGATTTTACAACGGCAAAATGGGGTAGAGAGGATGTTTCAAAGCAAAAGTTAGCCTTTAGTGTGCTTCAAGCAATGTCAAGTTTAAAATGAAAATACTGAGAAGACATAATGCTCTAGAGGATGACTAGTTCTTTCCCGTTTAAAACTTGAAGCTGAAGGCATTCAAGTTTTGGAATTGTGCCAGTCGTTCTGGCACGATTCCAATCAAGAAATTTGTAACAGTATATCAGGATTTTTACCATTAACAGGAATTTGGGGGAAAGAAAACAGTCTGTGTGAGAAAACTTTTGTCTTTCTCAGTAACAAATCCAGTGAGAGTGACAGCAGTAGATCTAGGTCAGTAACTTATTCACCCATTTCTATATTTTTTTCACCTATGGCAAGCGCTCTTTTTTTCTCAATCCAAAAAAAAAAAAAGTTTTTAGGATAACTTAAATATTGTTTCATGTCATGATACAAAAGTTAGACATGTTAAATAGAATTATTTTCCTCTAAGGAATTTGAACAACTTGAACTCAGGTTGGAATAAACGTTCAGATCACTTAGGACAAAGAGAGAATGGCTCAAAACATGAGTTCTGACGTGTCTTGTCAAACTACCTGTATATATGACTGAGTAGTCGATTTGAAGTCACTGGCTGCTTGCAGGTGAAGTTTAGTGTGTGCGTAAATTTAAGCAAGATGAGAGATACCATAATGAAAGCAAACTGATGACAAGGGTTCTATGTCATCAGTCTTATCTGCCCAGGTATATTTGTAGGCAGCTGTCTGAGTGCTGGAGACACTGAGAGAATGTAGAAGTTGTCACTGTAAGGTTTGAGGGCCCCTTTGACTGCAGCATACACCTTACTGGGTGAAGTTGGTGTCACAGCTTAACGTAACTGTGGTCAGGAGGTAAGCTTTCAGCTCCACAATAGCTGAAAACAAACCTGGTTTGGTATTTCCAGTTAGTCCTTTAGTTTAGTATTAGGCAAGTGCTTCAGGGGAAAATAATGCTTTGTGAAAGCAAAGGGGGAAAAACTAGATTGGGATGGCCCTTGCTGTTATTCATCATGTCTTTGGTTTCCATAACAAGTAGATAACCAAAATATTTCCCACAGTTTTCACAACCTAAATAAGGGAGGGTTTTGAGAGACACATAATTGCAGGATACAACTGCAGCTGGAAGAAGAAATAATATTTAGGGTGCACCAGCTCTATTTTGAGTCAGCAGTGGAAGGTGCAGGCTGTATTCATGCTTACTGCTTTTCTCTTTCCATACTAGTTGCTCTTATGCAAGGCATAACTTTGACAAAACCTTGCTTTGCTTGGCTTCGCGGACTGTTGGAGCTCCAGCAAACACTGCCACAAACAGTGCATCCAGAGATTTTTCCTTACTAAACGTGCAGAATTGATCTGTGTTTCTGACTGTGTGATAGACAGGCTTCATTGCTTCCATGCATGTGAATGGTCTTTGCAGAGTAGTTCTAGTATTAGTATTATTTTGATGTTTTAATTTTTTACTTCACTACTTCCATATCTTGCTATTAAGGTGTGTCTTTGCCTCATGCATTTGCCAACTCCAGTAAACTGTTTAGGTCTTTGTAGTTTTCCATGAAAGTATGACTTTGGGATACCAGAATTAAGAGTGGAAAGTGGCTTTTATTGACTCTTCAAATAGCACTGAAGTTTTGTTTTGTTTCAAGGCTGTTCTTGGTAGTGGAGGGTTAAAAACAGTGTGTAATTCCTGAATAGAAGCATCTTACTGGAGCTGCCTGCTGTGAACTAAATTGACCTGGTATGTGTGGTGGTGCTTAATTTCCCTAACAGCAGGTATTAAAAGTGAAGTACTTCATCTGAAAAAGCATGTGTGAATCTTCTTCCTTCAGCTTTCAGCCAGAGGTCACTTCATAAAGATAGGAAGGGCTGGTTTACTACTACTCAGTTTGCAAATCATCTGCCGTGAATGAGCTTGCTTTTCATATAGTTCATGCATACCATGAAGGTAGATGTTTTTCTGTTGGACCAACATATATCAATGTTACAGTACACAGATAATTTTTCTATTAAAACAAACAAACAAAAAAACCTAAAAAAAAACCAACCACAACAAAAGCAAAACCAAAAAAACCATTCTCAGAAATTCCTGCTTTAAATTGTTCTTGGAGGGCAGGATGAGAGATAAATGGATGTTGTAGGCTCATAAATCACAATTCAGTAATAACTTTCTTAGGAAAATACATGAAATCAAAACTACTTGACAAAGAGATTCAATGACTATATGGAAAAATTCAGTTACTACCTTTTACTTCACAACCTTTCTGAAAATGTCAATGACCTACAAATTGAATACCCAAAAAGTCACTCTTTCAGATTAGTTTTATAAGGTCTGTTCTCTTCTGTGCTTGAATAGGATGCTTTGGCAGCACTGGCTGATGTTGCTTATGTTGACATGCTGGAGGGAGACATAGAATGTCACGTCCGTTTTAAAACTCCTGAGGATGCGCAGGTTATCATGAAATCGTACAAAGAAATACAGATCAAAAACAACTGGAAGTTTGAAGTTCTCACTGGTAAGACCTTTTTTTTTAATGGTATTACAGGAGACAAGTATGGTAAAAAGTATTCTGCGGTAGCTCTATGGATATACTGAGATGACTCAGTCGGGGCAAAGGATGTGTTTTTTCTGTGAGTTTTCCCATTTTGCTGTTATAGTGAAATTGGTTAAAGGGTATGGGGGTTTTATGCCACTGTTCAGAGCAAAATAACAATGTTTGCTTGCGTTTATCACTTAATCCTGTTCTTTTGAGATTTATTTATTCACATCACTTTTATGTGTACTATCAATCTTAATTCCTATTTTAGCTTTATAAATATAACATTCTGATAGTGCTGAAGAGCTTTACAGGAAGATTTTCTTGAAAATACTGAACTTCTAGGTGAAATAACAGGACATGATTTAAGAGTATGGATACACTTAGAGTGGTTTTAGCACTTGCCTTCTAATTAAGTCTTCTTTTTTTTGTTTCAGGAGGTTGAGTAACTTTGGTCAGAGGAATGCCTTTTTTAAATTGTATTTACAAAAAAAAATAAAGAATTACTGACTTACTTTGGAACTTCAGTATAGTGCATGTTGGGTTTTTTCCTGAAATTGCTATTCTTGAACTAGTCTTCCTAGTGTAGATAAATGTCTTTCTGGAAGTGAGCAGTAGAATAAGTGGGAAGGAGGGAGGCGTTTCAAACTTTGTTGCTGTATTCATATAACTTTTACATTCTAGACATGCACTAAAAATCCTAAATGCTTTAAAAAAAAAAAACAAACCAACAAACAAACAAAAAACCCCCCCGAAGAATCTTGAATCTTTAATAGATTAAAAAAAGAATCTTTAATGCTTCTTGCTGCAGGACTGAAGCTTTCCTAGTAGTATTTCACTTTTTAAGATTTGAGTAAACGTCTTCAGCTTTTCAGCTGACAAGATAGTAAGAAGCAACTATGGTGACATGTAGATGTTACTGTGATTGAATATATACATAATGCTGTTAAAATATGTGCTGAATTTCTTCTCAGGATTGTTAATTTTATCACTTTTGAGTAAATCTTTTCCAAAATCACTTGGGAAATTCCCTGTAACTGAAGATTTCCCACAAAACCATACAACACCACAAAATTCTGCTACAGCGGAAACCATAGGAAACAGTGGCAGACCACTTCTTACTGCAACACAGCCACTGAGAAAAGCTGCATAATTATTGCCCCCCCCCCCCATGTTCAAGTATTCCTAATTGGCTATGAAGTCCCCAGAGTTTGCTTCTAACAGTAGTATTGATAAACAAAATACTATCAGGCATTCTTGCAGTAATTTTTTTTTTCCTGTTCAAAATTCATCAGAGATTGAGTACATCAGTAAATTAAAGGACCTCTTACTGCTGTGGTGAAACATTAGGCAAAACTGAGCTCCTTCTGCTAACTACATGTAGAGAGTGGTGTTTGCATATTCTCTGAGTTGGTTTTATTTAGTTTGTAAAACTACTTGCTTAGGAAAACTTGGCTCTTCTGGACAAAATCTTAATTCTGGTCACATTGGTGTGTGTTGGTCAGATGTTGCAATACTGTATGGCTTCTGAATCTGAATTTAAGACTGATGGGGAAATACTTGTCAGGTTTCCCTAACAGGTATTTTCACATGTATTTATTTACCTTAGGAAACATTCCTTCTCATCACAGCTGGAAACACTGTATCCACTGGTATTGACTACTTTTGTTCATGTAGTGTAATGTTAATTTGTTTTTCAAGGTGATCACGAACAACGTTACTGGCAGAAGATTCTAGTGGACAGACAAGCTAAACTTAACCAGCCTCGAGAAAAGAAGCGGGGTACTGAGAAGGTAATCTGCAAGGCAGTTTATTTTTCTTGTACAGCTGTGGTTGAAAATCTGGCTCTATTTCTGTGTAGATAAGTGTTTCTTGATACTTAATGCTTTGGTGCTGTCTTTAATCCAGTTAGATGACTTCCTACTGATTTGGCAGCAGGATTTTACAGCCACAGAGTAGAGAACATGTAGCAGTCCTGGTCCAACTGCCAAATGCAAGGCTTGTCCTTATGGAGACAATCAGAGCAAGTTCAGTCCATGCCTAAAGGCATGAAGTTCATTTGTAAGATGGATTTCCTTTGAAATCCTGTCTGGTGAGCTTATAACAAAGTTAAGTAGTCCTGGTTTGCTCTACTGTAATAAATTCTAGTGGTATAGTCTTAACTCTCAGGTGTGATAAAGAAAATTGTTAAGAATTAATCTCTCTATTTCTTACTATTTACACAATTATTTTAGTGTACTGTTCTGTGCCATTCTGAACAGTAGCATTTTCCTACTGCAGTCCCACTATGTCTGTTCTGGTCCAGCAAATCCAAATGCTGCTATGAGAGTCCGTAGCTGAGCAGCTTCCAGAATATAACTAGTGACGTTTCCATCCAGCCTTGACCTTGATGTGCCTGTCAGGGCACAGTGTGGAGGGAGTGTTGCAATAAACTTGCAGGCTGCAGTCTCCACTCCTGCCCCTGAAAATCCTTCCAGGCCTGAAGGGCTCTTGATTAAGCCAGACAGATCCCTTAGCTGACAGAGAGGAGCCAAAGAGTATTTCACAGACACTTTATTGCTAGGTTTACTTCACACACCTTGCAGATAAGGCTTCTGAGTTGGATTTAAGCATAGTCTTTATGCTGGAGCTTGCAAAACTTCAGAATCATCTGACCTTACTATTTGCTGGTGACTTTGGAGGCTTTTTGTTTCCTAGGTGCTCCTTTGATGCAAGCAATTAAAAACCCCCTAGTTGCTCTATATATAATTGAAAAGAAATACTACATTGACCTAAAAGAGCAGCAGTTGTACAGATCAAAATCTTGTCTTGTACAAGGCGTATTTTGCGTGTAGTGCCTTGTTGGTATAAACATTCTTTCAGAGATCTCATGGATAAATGTGTCTCATTCTTTCCAAGGTGTGAATAAAGTTTTTCCCCATGTGACTGATTTAATTTTCTTAAAGGCATAAAAATGGCATTTACGCTAGCCATTATACTTTAATATGAGGAGTAAGTGATGTGAAATGTGCAGTTTCAGAGCCTTTTACTGAGTGTGACAGGCTTTTTGTGAGGTTGGTTTTTTAAATTATTTTCTTTTTTAATGTACTTTTCCTTTTTTGAACAAAAGGTGCCAGTGGCACCTTTAACTGCAGTTTGGACTGTAGGTGCCCTGCTATCAAGTTTCTGTTCCTCATCTTCTGAAGATTTGGTATTTGTTGACCAAACTGGTGTAAATTTGCCAGTAACTTACCTCACCTGGGCTTGCAACTATCAACTGTTTCAGCTCTGCTTAACAATAGCAGCAGTGAGGGTGCAAACTCCTGGTCCTCCCCCTTACACATCACCTTGCAAGGCTGGGAGGTGTTAACTTCAAAGCTTAGTGAATACTATTTATATGCTAACACTGTTAAGTGAAACATCCAGAAAAGAATGGCTCACTATAGTCAATGACTCTTAACCCTTTAGTTACTTCTTGGCAGTCTGCATGCCAGAAATACAGACTGAGAATAAGAAAAAATCTTTCTTTCTCTGTTCATTAGTATTAATTTTAATCTTTTATTTGAAAATTCTCCTGAAGTACTCACAAGTTGACTTATTTTGAAGGTCACAATAAAAGGAAGGAAAAAAATAATGTAATGATTCATAAACACATACAGCTGTGTATGCCATTAGTGGATCTTTCTTGCAGAGATTCTGTTTTAAAATCTTTTTACAAGATCTCTTTGAAGATGAGCATTTGCCTATTTGATTTATACTTACATTCATTTCAGTTAGTGTGGTTAAATGTGGGCCTAATAGATCATAAGCTATATAGCTCAGTTGATGTCCATGTATTTATAGTAATAATGAACATACATATTGTTGCACGGACTGCTTGCTGCACAGGCTGTACACAGTAGCAGCACACAGAGATGCTTTTGAGGGTAATTTTGGACAGTTTGAGATTCTTCTTTTCCATGTAAAACTACAGTCTTACTCAGCTTTCTTGGGGCATGATGGGATAAGAGTTACTGATCATTTCAACAGAGGATTTCTGGTGTTATGCCTCACCCCAAAAATAAAAAATGGTATAGATTTTGCTTTCTCTGGCATAGCTCTTGTGGTAAACTCAATGTCCAAAAGAGATAAAGACACCTCAGGGTTCCCCAGAACTTGTGACTCCTGCCTAGCCATTCTCTGCAGTTAAAAAGCTGTTCAGTGTCAGGCATTTCTCTCAGGCCTTGGTCGCTCATCATCATCTCTGTGCTTCTTTGTCTTGTCCCTTCCAAATCCATGTTATCTTTAGTCCGTTGTTCAACCCTGGCATAAAAAAATTGTAGTGATTTAGTGATACAGATGAAAAACCTTCTTGCCAGAATGATTCCTTCAGGGCAGTGCCAGTTTATGCAGAGCTCAGGCAGTTTATCAGTCTGTAGCCTTAAACTCTCTAGGCTCATTGAAGTTTCCTATGAACAAAGCAAAGGCCTGAGTGGCTATAAGCGTTCCACTTGGGTGCTTGTCTGCTGGGAGAGGTGCTGCTAAACCCAGTTTACACCTTGGACACCCCTTTACCAGAAGGAAAGGAGGAAGTTTAAGAGGGTGGGAGTGGTGGTAGAAGTGAAAGGCATTTGGTGGGCAAGTGAGAATTGGGTGTTTGTGAAGGGCGGAATAATTTGGAGAATATATGGGAAAGGAGGATAGTGGGAATGCCTGGGCACAGCCCACCCTATTCTCTTCTGATTACGCCTGGGGCTCAGGGGCTGTGTCCTTGCAAGAAGGACCAGTTCTCTGTCTGTGCTGGGGGAGGAGTGGGAGGGGGGGTGAGTGGGAAGAGGCACAGATAAGCCCCTTTCCCTGATTCTCTGAAGTTGGTATCTATGGAAGGGCTGGGTACCCCTCTGGAGGCCTGACCAGTGGTGTGCTTAGAAATAGGTGATACTGGATTGGTGAGCTCAAAATAAGAATCCTTGAGGCCTCTTCTAGTTTTGAGGTGTTGGTATAGAAGCAGTAACTGATACACACTGGGCAGTTCACATCCCGGAGCCTTCCTTCCAGCGTGTTTGGTTCTACATCGCATATGTTGAACGAGTGAGCCAGTATACTCCTCACTTCTATTTAGAGTTTAACTCTTTTAATCCATTTCTCAGATACCAAAGAGTGAAAGTAGCTCCTAGTTACGTATTTACATCAGTTTTACTTCTGGAGAATGGTTGAGAAAGTCCTCTGTCAGAACTTACTGTCTGATGCTGTTGAGAACATGTGAAGTATTGCAAATCAAGTTAAATGCTGGGGGCCCAGGGAGACGTACCAGTAAAATTGTGGGAGTATAACGATAGTTACTACAGCACAGCAAACTGCATCCGTGCAGCATGTGTGTACAGTGTCATTCCTGACTACCAGGATCAGTGCAGCTATGCACCTTGCACTTCTGTGCTATGTGCAAGATGCAGTGTCTGCAGGATTTAGCATTTATCATGGATAAATAGTAAATAATGTGATTTATAGGTGAAAACTTTTCAAATCTAGCCACTTTACTGGATTGCTGGTGAGCAAGTGCCCCTTTACCTCAGCACCAGCTAATATGTTTTAGTAGGCTCTATCAGATAACATAACATGGATTTATGCTGGTGCCTTATGGATGTGACTAGATTCACAAGAGTTTCCTGCTTTCTCACTTTTATTCAGATGAGGCAGCCTGTGTTGTGTTTTGGGTGTTTTTTTCTCATCTTACTCATGCAACAGTTACTTCATGAGCTCTTGCTTATGGTTGAGGAATCTTAATGGGGCATCACAGTAACAAAGCTTGTACCTTTGCATTATTAGGATGACTTTGTTGCAATACTATGGTTAAATATGTAAATGCTCTAGTGTGGATGCTTTAAAAACAAGAATGCTTTTAACATTCTCAGAGTTCTTGTTTTCTGCCTGAGGACACAGTAAACAGAGGTTGGGAATCAGCGTGTTACATCCCACAAGAGCATCTCTTTTGCCTCAGCACTGAAAGCAGCTAGCCAGGTACCCCCTGGTAATTCAGGCAATCTGCCCAAAATACAGTTGAAAACACACACATTGCTGGTCAGACAGGGTTCTGAGTGAGGGATCCCTAGCATCAGTGTTATCATAGAATCACAGAATAGTTAGGGTTGGAAAAGACCTTAAGATCATCTAGTTCCAACACCCCTGCCATGAGCAGGGACACCACACACTAAACTATGTCGCCCAAGGCTCTGTCCAGCCTGGCCTTGAACACCTCCAGGGTTGGAGCATTCACAACTTCCTTGGGCAACCCATTCCAGTGCCTCACCACCCTCCCTGTGAAGAACTTCTTCCTTATATCTAACCTAAACTTCCCCTGTTTAAGTTTAAACCCATTCCCCCTTGTCCTACCACTACAGTCCCTAATGAAGAGTCCCTCCCCAGCATCCTGTGAGTCCCCCTTCAGATACTGGAAGGCTGCTCTGAGGTCTCCACGCAGTCTTCTCTACTCCAGGCTGAACAGCCCCAACTTTCTCAGCCTGTCTTCATACGGGAGGTGCTCCAGTCCTCTTATCATCCTCGTGGCCCTCCTCTGGACTTGCTCCAGCAGCTCCATGTCCTTTTTATGTTGAGGACACCAGAACTGTACACAATACTGCAAGTGAGGCCTCACAAGAGCAGAGTAGAGGGGCAGGATCACCTCCTTTGACCTGCTGGTCATGCTTCTTTTGATACAGCCCAGGATACGGTTGCTTTCTGGGCTACAGGCGCACACTGCCTGCTCATGCCGAGTTTCTCATCAATCACCACCCCCAAGTCCTCCTTCCAAGTTCTTCCAAACTTCACCATTATTTCTCAAGATGAATTCTAAGCAGGGTTGTGACACGTGTTGTGCTGTTTTCCTGGCCTGAAGGATGGTTCCCATGTGGATTTCCATGGATTTGTTGATTTGTTTCTTTGCTAAGTGTAGAAAATGACACATTATTCCTAAGGCTGCTTTTTTGTTTGTTTGTTTGTTTGTTTTTATGGTCTGACCTTGTTTTTCTTACATCAGTAACAGCATGAGTCCAGTAAAAGGGCAGAGTTTTAACTTACTGCATGAGACTGCATTTTGGGATTTTTGAAGTTGAAACTCATTTATTCTCTTGAAATCAATTTTTTTCTCTTCAACCATGTTAGGAGGAAGAAGGGATGGAATGAAAGATGCTGACTGTCCAGAGTTTGAAGAGACGCCTTGCTATTTGTGATAGGTCTGAAGGCAATACTAAAAGGGCTGCTTTAACTTTTTCTTTTCTTTTTTCTTTTTTTTGTCAGATGTACAGGTTAGCTTAGCTCTTCACAGAACAGCTTTTTCTTATGAAGTTTGGTAAATTTGGGAATAATATATCATAAGATAAAATTATAACAATGTAGTTTTCCTCTAACCTTTTGTACAATGTTTTTTCTGTTTGCAGTTAATTGCTAAAGCTGAAAGAATGAGACTTGAAAAGACTCAACAAACAAGTAAACATATTCGCTTCACTGAAAATAACTGACCAAGACTGATTGTGCTGTTCAAAGTGAACTGTGTATTTAAAAAACAACAAATTCCACAAACCCCTCTGCTTACACAAACTAAACCTTTTCTAAGGAGGCAGAAACCCCTGATTCATTTGATTCATAATTCTGCAGGCTGCAAGTATGAAGATTGTTCTGAATCCCATTTGGAAGAAGGCTGAATGTTTACTGCTTCTGAGCCTGTAGGTAAAGCTTTCTGAAAAAAAACAAAGTATTATGAGACGTTGCTTTAGTTCACTTCTGGTTTTGGTTTTGGGGTTGTTTTTTGGTTTGTTTGGTTTTGGGGTTTTTTTGTATGTTGAAGTTTTATACACTAGGTTATGAAATAAAATGCTTGAGAAATTTTTAGTTGTGCATCTCTAATTCTGCACTCTGCTTTATGACACTATAAATAATAAACCTGGTTAATGCCAAATATAAACCTCCCTAGGGCCTCTGTTTAGTCCATCACACTGCTGAGAATGACAGTAGAATGAGTATATAACCTTCCATGTATTTTTCAGTGGCTAGGACTGTCAGAAAATCTGTCTTGGAGAAGTCTGGAAGAAAATATACTTGTGTGAAGTGCACACTGAACTGTCTGTAGACATTTCTTTTTAGAAGAATCTTCGGGGGAGGAAATAAGAAACCTTTTGTGTGTTACATCTGGTAACTGTAGCTCCAGAACTAATTCTGACTTACAGATAAGTGTTGAAGTTTTTTAGTGCACAAGTTAAGTTGGTGACCTCAATGTACCTTGAAGTATTTTGTTGTAGACTGGTGGTATTTCAAAACCAAAAAGCCAAATAAAGAAACCCTAAAGTTAAAATTAGAATAATAGCAAAGGTTAAACTTAATGTATGACTAAGTGTGCTGTTAGATATCTCTCCATTAATGTAAAGATAAATTCACATGTTTGTTTGTGAGATTGCCTTAGTGTTATTTTATTGCAGGGCAAATGAGATGCTAACACATCGGTTTATGAAAGTGTGAAACTTCCTTATAAATAGAAAGACAAGCAAGTAATTTGGAAACTAGAAGTACATTCCTAAAATACCATCGAGGCTCTTGAAGGAAACTCACATGACACTGTAGGTGGTTTTGCAGCTGTAGCTTTTGCTGATAAGGTAGATTGACATTTTTTAATTCTATGCTATCAAATTACTGGAGCAGTGGAGGTATTTTAATGATACGGGTTATAATAAAGTTTGGTGACCCTGGTGTATTTTTGCTAAGAAAAGAATCTGCACTATTTCTCCTGAATTCTCAAAAGCAGTGTGGTTATAATAGGTACGGTGGCTTTGAAGTTGGGGAGAACAGAAGGCAAAGGAGGGAAAAAAATGGGAAAAACTATATTTCAAGAGATGATACCAAAGCATGTGAATTGTAATGAAACTACCCAAGCTATAAATAATGTAGAGAAGCAGCACAGTGAGAATGGAGGAGTGTTCATGGAGCACCATTTGTGTGCTGGTACTTGTGATTTAGCAAGTGCTGGGGACTGTTTACTTGGACAGTCCATAAACTCAGGTAGCACAAAGTCTCCATCCTTCAATCCTACAAGACTGGGATCAGGATCCAAGCCACCAGCAGACAGCATCCCTCTCCTGGGGCGGTGACAGAGGAATGGAGAGGATTAGCACGAGTCAATGGGGAGGGTATAGCTGTGATCAGGATAAAGATAGCAGAAATACGGAGGGGAAAAGTGCAAGATAAGAGACAAACTTTCAGGGTGGAGGGGAAGAGCTTGCTAATGGTTCTTGGAAACTGCATATGAACAATTCCTCCCAGGGGGCTGTGGAAGGAAAGTTGGGTACTGACGCCTGTGCCAAACACTCTTGTGTGGACTTCAGCAGCATTCAGATGCTTAGTCCAGTTGCAGGATTTTCATCATTACTATTTAATATTCAACTTTTCTCTTACACTCTGTGGGTAAGATAATTGATAACACATTGGAGAGAACTGACATACCTAGCTAGGAAAAGGATTGGCCAGTGAATGTCTCCAGGGCATCCTGCCTGAAAGACAGGAGATTATTCTTTTTTCCACTTCTGTGATGTGATAGAGAAAAAAACCCCAACAGCCTATTCGGGGTAAATAGCTTGAATTTCTCTGCAGAAGTTCATTAAAGCCAAATTTCATCCATGTTATAAATAATTCAGATCATAAGTGATTCAGTCTTCTTATGTTTTGTAGGGAGTGGAACAGAATTGCAAAAGCATAAGTTGTGGAGCTTTGCTCTTCTGTTAATAATTCCTGACTTGAACACATACCAAGAGAAATCGCCCTTCTGTTCCTTTCCATATTTATATAGGTTAAGTCTTTACAATTAAACATCACTTTTCTTTCTGTCCTTTTCCAAACCAGTGCAGAAATCGGCTTCAGGAGGAAAGGGTGGTGTTTAGTATGTTCTGAAGAACTTAATAGTAGTATTTTTGCCATTTAATTCAGAGGTCATGTATGGAGGGCATGGTGTGTGTGCTTTTACAAAGTGAACTTTGATTCTTAAGTGCACCAGAATGGTTTAGTTGGGGTTTTGTTGTTTGTTTTTAAGTACACAAGACAATTAATATCTGTTAGCCCTCCCCATCAACATATGCTAAGAGGAGTCCATCTGTTGGGTTTTACCATCCCTAGAGGTACTTCGTATTTGGCTGTGCCAATGGAGGTTGATGGCTTTAGTGAAGCCTGGCACCTGTGCTGGTGGCAGTGGTTCAGTTTGTTGCTTACATTTAAGTTTTCTGCCCTCCTGTTTTTCTTTAGGTTTATCCATTCCTAGGAACTTCCAACACTGACTTTATACCCTTTTTAATCCCACACCCCTCTCACCGCCTCCCCATGAAATACCACATTTTATTTAAAATTCAGGATGAGACTTAAAAATTATAGGAATTCATAACCTTGGACTGCTCATTTGGTTTTGCTGATTTTTCTGTCTCCCTTGGCTGCTGAGTGTTTTGGAAGAACATCATTACATATAAACATGCCTGGAGCAAAACCCAGCATCGATTCTGCTCTTTGTGAGCCAGCGTGAGGCTGGATGTGACATTATTTTTAGCACTCGCATTTTTGCCTCTTTTCCACAGACTTTGTGTGGCAGCAGCAGGACTGTAACTGACCTGTGTGAGGCCTTCAGTGCCAGAAGAACATTTGTAATTTGGATCTTCAGTTAAAAATCAAAACTGATTTTATGGTTGTAGATCTCGTCATCTGTGATCTTGTCCCCTGAAGGCTTCTTTGATTTCTCCTCTGACACAACATTTCCAAGTTTAAGAGATTGGCCTCTTGAGTACTATTGCCTTGCAGCAGGGACTGTAGGGGTTACCTTCATGGTGCCAAGTTGCTGACTGGGACCAAGACTCTCTTGTGGTGAGCTTTGCATGGATAAAATGCTCTGGAGTAAAAGGGACAACAAGGAGGATGGGAGCGGAGGTGTGCAGTGGTTGATGTGATGGCAACTAAGAGTCATTTTTAGTGAGCAAGTGGAGGACCTCAGTGGTGTAGGAAGAGAGCAGCAGGGCCTCCTTGCTGTCAGCCACAGAGCCACTGTATGCGTCTAACAGACACACTACCCACATCTTCAGATATGTGTCCTCCCATTTTGGGACTCTGCCTCCCCCAAGCTGTATTTGTGCAGTAAAAGCCCTGGAAGGAGGAACCTGGTTTTAGTAAACCAGCCATGCTCAAAAGCAGCAGCCTCCTACTCCACAATGACTGGACCTGCGCGTTTGCAGTAGCCAGCAGTCTGCAGTCAGAGCAGGATCCCACTTGCGGCACAGTGCTTGTACCCTTTTGCCCTTTCTACCTGTCTCTGCAGCGTAGGAAATCTTCTTTAGTTTTGATTTTGCACCTTGTTTTAATTCGTGAGTTTCTTCTGTAAGATCTTAGAGCCACCTGGAGTAAGCAGAAAGTCAGAAATAAAAATCCTACAGTGAATTTGAACTGAATTACAGATCCCACAGGAGACTCGAGGTATCCTGAGGGGCTGGAGTGCTCTTGTCTGGCATGTTGGTGCCTGCAGTGAGAGAGCTAACTAAATCTTTATCTGCCTCCTCTGTTGACATGCTGTCTTCCCAAAGACTATGCTCTTCTCTTTGTTAACTCTAATTCTGTAATTTTTTTACCATCTCACCAAGCCTGGTTGAACTTTGCCACTTTTATCCATTTTATCTTACACAGCCAGTACTAGTCCTCTGGGTTTGTTTTGTTTTGTTTTTTCTCCTTAAGATCCACTCTGTGTCCTATTTAAACCAGACTTTAAGGCAGTCCTTGAAAGCTAGCAGGTAAGTAAATTAGCTTTTTCTAGAGAGGCTCTAAATCGAATTAGAAAATTACCCTCTGGTAGATGACAAAGGCACTTGCCTGCCCATGTCCTCTGGAACATAGGTCAGTTGTCGTAATTGCTTACTTAATGGTACCATAGTGTCTAATGATCTCAGACGGGATTAAATCATGGGAATAATGCTGTATAATGCTGTAAAAAATAATTAGATAAGGTATGCTTGGGTGACTTTGAAATGTGCCTGAGTGGAGTAATAATACAGTTATCTTACCTACAGGTTATTTAAGTTTCTGTGCATGGTGTTAAGGAAGTTATTCCCTATGGAAAGTAGAATAGTCTTCCTAGCATTAAATACGCTTTATTTGCATCAGTTGTGGCTCTGTAATGGAGGCATATGGCTTGCTTAGCTAATTCACACCCAGAACATCACAGTTATATTTGTACCACTGGTATTAAAGCTTTACATTCCTAAAGCACTTCCTTTTCTTTTCGCAGGTTAGAAATTTGGTCCTGCAAGTATTGAAGAGCATTTATTTTAAATGCTAGTGCACAGCTGTCGTGTTTTGGTGGGTTTCACCTTTTTAAACGCACCAGTAGGTGTTTTGTTGGTGTGTTAAAGAAATGGCTGGGGGAACATCAGTTTATCGAGGGAAAAAACTTAACTTCTAGCTCCTTTGAACCTGGGAACTGCTAGTGCCAAGAGGCCAGGCAATTCTT